GAGGCGTAGCTGGCAAGCGGCAGAGACGGAGCAGGCCGACCACCAGCTGGCCCAGCCCAAGGGAGGTAAGGCACCCGCCGGAAAAGGGGAAAAAATGGCGGACAAAAAAAATGGCGGACAGCCTTGCTTGGCGACCCCCGTGAAATGGTCGATCGACCCCAAATGGGGTCCCGACCCACAGGTTGAGAACCACTGCTTTAAATACATTAACACTGAAGAATGTCTTGCTATCAGCCCAGCCTTTGCTTGTTTCCCTACCACCCTCTGCCATTTCCTAATCATTTTTAGCAATGGCAACCATCAAGTTATTGTTCCTTAAAAAAAAGGGGTGAACAGCCTTCCCAGTGCTAGGGACCACTGTGATTTATAACACTGGGCAAAGGGCAGAGGAAGTATACGGGAGGCAAATTTCTCATTTTCATCATTGAAGAGCTTCAAAACAAATCATTCTGCCAAAATTCAGTAGCTAAATCTGGGCAGTGCAATTTGAGGACATGGGAGGATGGAACTGAGTGGTTTTTTCCAAGGATGGAAATGGAGCACGTTGCCTTCCAGAGATTTTCCTGCTTCATGTTTTCTGTCTCGGAGCTATTCAAGCAAAAGGGAATCCACGTGAATGGCTCTAGTGTTAGCCAGTTAATTCTAATGTGCTTGATCATGAAGCAAACATTCATGACTACAGACTGTCAATCAAACTGAATTCATTATAGTTGCTTTCAAGCCTTTAGTTACAGACCCACACCGCCGCAAAGAGGGACCAGCCCTACCCAGATGCTGCTTACCATCTCTTGACATCCCCACCGCCAGACACTTCTTGAAGCGGCAGTGCTGGCAGCGGTTGCGATTCATACGCATGATCATGCAATTTTCATTCTTCACGCACATCTTGTAGTTGATGTTCTGCTGGATGCTCCGGCGGAAAAAACCCTGAAGGCACCAGGAAAGAGGAATGGGGAAAGAGGAGGTGAACCAACAAATGGACACATGTAAAATGAATCTACTGGTTTTTAGCTTTCTACGCTGCTTGGTGTCAGCTTTGGGGTATCCCTCATGCCTTTTTTTCTTAATGTTGGCTGAAGACATCTAAGAAAACAAAAGTTAGTTTATCCTCCCTTGGATTCCAGAGAGTCAACTGAGCAACTGGCAAGTTGGTAGGCTCTAGCTACTTGGAAGAAAATACATGGCTGAAACATTCCTTGTTTTGCCAACTGAATTGCTGAAGGACTGGAAGATGCTGGACAGTGCTACTGCTTAGCAGTGGAAATTCTGGTTGTAAGTCGAGAATTATTGGTATTGTGGTTCTTATTTTAGAGAAATCAAACAGCTAACAGAGAATCCAACTTGTGGATTAATAAATTAATCCAATTTGTGTGTTAATGGAGACTCCAACTAAACTAATTTCTCTTTAGCCTGGAATCAAAACCAAAACTCAATATGGATTCAAGTTGCACATGCCGCCAATAGGTCTGCCAGTGTAGGATTTCATATTAGGTATCCTAAATATTTTAGACTTCGAAAGAACAGGGTATTTGATTCTTTTGAACACTGGTGTTGAAAAGGCTCCCGAGTGCACCAATGGATAGCTAAGAAAACAAGCTAGTGGGTCATCAAATAAAACCACCCAGGGTTTTCAGCAGAGACTGAAGTGACCAGATTCAAATTATCATACTTTGGAAATTTATATGCTGGGAAAGATAGCAAGAAAAATAAGAAAAGAATGAGTAGCATCAAGGTTGATGGACTCAATTATAGTGGTAATGGGTACACTGGAAGATCTGAAGGACCAGATTAGGAAAAGATCAACCTGGAGAAAAACCCATCTACATCGTCACTAAAAACTGACATCACCTTCAGGGCACATGATCAATCAATCCACCTTGAGCATTTCAACTTGAATTATTTTTAAACAAAGATGTTTTTAAGTCTTCTACAGACTTGTCATAATAGAAACAAACAAAAGAGGAAGAAAGCAAGAAGATGCACCTACCTTACATCCTTCACAAGCGTGAACCCCATAGTGGAAGCCTGAAGCAATGTCTCCACAAACTTTGCAAAGCAACACCATCCCACCAGTCTCTGCAAAGGAAGAGAAGAACTGATCTTAATTCCCTGCCAGGCCCAAGTTTCTGATCCAATCTCTCTCTTCTCTGTCCTGGCCCACTGAAGTAACTTTTCCTAACTTGTCTATGGAGCTTCTCAATTACCCAGGTCATGGTTGTCCCAAAGGTGCTTTTTCCATCAGGAAGCCGGACTTTCTTTTTTTTTTTTTTTACTATGAAAACGTTTTGCGTCTCATCTAAGAAGCTTCTTTGGTTCAGAACGGAACATTTTCAAAGAAAAGAACCAAGAAAGTCCAAATGCCACTTGGAAAAAGGACCTTTGGGTTTCCCCAACTTGCTGTCCTCCAGACGCAATACATGTCAACTTCTATAATCCCAGTCAGCATGCCTGTAGGATTTGGAAATGGAAGTTCAGCAGACTTAGAGAATAACAATTGGGAAGGGCTGACAGTGCCAAACTAGCTCCATCAGAATGGAATCCATCTGAACTTTTATTTAAAATGGAAATAACAATGGCCACGTGCACATCTGTACAGAAAGACTTTGCACGTTGGACTACCACCTGTTTAAACATGTTTTACTGACTAATTCACAACTGACTAAATTCACACCTCTCACATTCAGCAGAACCCAAAATTCAAAAGCCATGATTCACTATTGTCATAAGGGACCAAAAGCTTAATGCTGCATGGGAACCTTGTCAATATATTTGCAAAAGCTTACTGTAGATAAAACAATATTATACCTCCAATAAGGAGGGTTTCAAAATTTCAAGGGACTGGGTGGATCTATGCCCTCTTTAATGGTTCACTTTTTTGTTTGAAGCAAAACGGTTTTGAGCAATGGGTGATTTTTAACATTTGATTAAGTCAGAAAATGAGTACACCCAAAAGAGCAGTAATTACCTTCAAGGAGAATAACAGTTCTTGGTCTTTCTATCAGGACTCCAAGTCCGCACAGACACAATGGAATGATTATTAACTATCTTGAATTGTAGTTTTCATAGAAATAATCTCCCTGACAAGATCGAATGGCTTTTGAGCTTCTAGATCTGGGACTTTAATCCATCTGGTTCAGGATGAGGTTGCACTACCGCAGATAGACCCAGTTCTCAACTTGGGAGTTCTCCTGGACTTGTGATCCCTGCTCAAAGAGCAAGTGGCACTCATGGCAGGAGAGCCTTTGTACAACTCCAGTTGGTGCTCCAGTTGCAGCCTTTCCTGAATCAGGAGTCCTTGCATTCAGTCATTCAATCCCTGTCATCTCACGTACGGACTGCTGCAATGCGCTCTATATGGGATTATCCTTGAAGAGCATTCAGAAGCTTCAAGCTTCAAATAAATCCATACAAATACTTTCCTATCATTATTCCTTACTGCAGAAAGAGCAGGGTTGGACTACAGGCAAAAGAATCTGTGGCTTCCTTAAGACTGCCTAGCAAGCACAGCCTTGCTTGTAACTCATATCCTTAGCCTCAATTCTCAGCCATCACTTCCAGAATCACCTTGTAGTCCAAAGATTTTCCTTTTTTTGCTCTTAAAGCAGAAAATGCAGAAAAATAAGAATACGAGCATTGGGTCCAATCTAAGACTTATTCCATCTCTTCTTGTATGTCAGAAAACCTATACTAAACCGAGAAGAGGAGATATATGTGGAAGAATCACTTACTTGTGAAAGTGCTGGTGGCTCCATTCTGCTTGGCGGCAGGCACCTTATTTGATGTTGGGGGTAGCTGGCCCTTGCTGGGGTAGCAGATCCCTTCAGGAAACTGGAAGGCTACCTTGGGTGAAGAGGGGGAGCTGGCCTGCTGTGGCTTGATGGCTCCAATCTCGGTGAGGGTCAGCTCTTCTAACGAGGATGGCAGTGAGTGTTGGGGTGAAGACACCAGATATCCACTGGGAGGGCTGCCTGGAGTGGGGCTGGAGCCAGCTGTTGAACCCACATAGAGGATCACGCCACCTGGTGTATGAGAAGGAAGAGGGAAGTTGAACCCAGTGCAGAATAAGAAAGATGACTTTGATGGAGATAGGCAGGAACTATTTACCAAGGCAAAAGGGACTGAGACAATAAAAAGTCCAGAACAATAAAATAGCATTTGGAAGCAGGTCAGGCAGAGACCTCCCTAATTTACTGGAGGGGGAGGAGGTGGTGGTGGTGGTACAGCACAATCAGACTTGCAAGATTCTAGTTATTATAGCCAATCTCAGTAAAAGTAGTTTTAGCCTTCCTGAGGAGTCAATTCCTGATCTGTCTAGGCCGACAACCAGGAACTATGGATGGCACTGCAGAGGGAGTTAAGAAGAATCTGCAAAACATGGCTGCCTTCTAAGTCAGTATTATGGCTGGAAATCTCTGCAAGAGCACACATTTGGGAAAGAATAATGAGCCACTGAATACATATCCTGTCCAATGATGACGCTACCCAATACCCCACTGATTTAACTCACACTATTCCGACCCTGGTTTGCCTCAAGCATGTCACGTAGTTCAAACAAAATAAAGATAGTCTCTTTATAGAGAGATATGTTACTATCAACCCCACCATCAATCTGATCAACCCACTGGGTTATGCCTGCATGATTTATGTCTGACTAAAGCAAATATCTGTGAAGCACATACTATAGCTGGCCTGCCAGATGCCTCCCTGCCTTCATTACAATTCCAAGCAAGCAGACAGGCAAGTTGTTTCTGAAACAAGACTGGTAGGTTGCGTTTGGCTGGATGGGTCGTAAACTATGCAAGCTTCCAGTAGTCTGTTGAAAGAAATAAGACCTGCATTTCTAGTTCACCCGTTCAAGAAACCCAAGTTCCTACATATGAAAAAGCGAAGGACATTTCCAAGCAACAGAAAACTATACCTGAAAAGCTACAACCTTCATTTCCTAGCTTTGCGTACTGGCCAAAGAAGAGCAGAATTCATGCACTTAGAACAGAGGGGTCAAACTGCCGTCCCACGGGCCTGATGCGTCATGCTGAAACCGCACCCACCCCAGCTCCATCAATGGAGGGGGGGGAAATCGCGATACGTCGCAACATGTCATGTGATTTAGAAGGTCTCACTGTCTGTGGGTAAGCAGAGACAGAGAATGGAAGCAGTTTCTACAATAGCCGACACTGCTGTGCTGTATTTCCACAGGCCTTAACAGCCTGCCTACACAAATCACATTCTTAGTTGGAGCATACAGAGGTCAAAAATCTGCATTCACATTATCAGAGAGTGCTTCCAGACAAAGCCTTGAGTATGCAATTCCTGTGAGTTGTTCACAGCTCTTGGGGGGGGGGGGGATGGGGGATATAAGCAGCCAAGCCACAGCATCTTCTCACTTTCAACCTTCTTGCATTCCTTTTAATTTTTTTAAAAAATAAGGATAATGCAATAGTAACTGCACAAGACGCCACAAAGCAAACAGATCCTTCTTATTCCTCAACTGCCATTTACAAATGGCAAACAAACAACAAACAACCCCCACCTTAAGCCTGGCACTGCTACAGGGACACAGAAAAACGATGACTCCATTTTTCCTATTGCAGCTTGGAAAGGCCTTTACAAAGACGGTAGGCCACCAACAGAGTTCAGCCTTTATGCTGCCGAACTGCCACTCAGTCCTAGCAGAAACAAAAATAAGAATCTGCTATGTACCCAGATGGCAAGCTTTCCTGCCCAAGAGGGACCCTGCCATACGCTACAAGCTGTAGTAGAGGAGAGACACACAGCTAAATTGCAACATGAGCATTTATTCGGCACTCGTGATTTAAGGCCACCCTTCTAATTCTTGCCCCTGGTAAGACACACAGTAAACAAGTGTCTCATTTTTCCAGCCTTCTTTGTGCCAACAGGTTGGCCTGCCAAACTATATATGGGATGTCAGAGAGGAGGAAGTTGGGAAACTGGATTTGAACTAGGTCACTATCACCCAAAATCATCATTCCCCCCCGGGAAAATGGGACTTTTTATAGAGAAATCCGTACCGAGACTAGACGAGAGACCGACAACGGTTCATGCAGAGTTCCATGTTTCGGTTACTGGTCGACTTGCGTACGTCCGAGGTACACTGAGAACCTGTTCCGGTCCCTTTGTCGGCCTTCGCACCGGGTTCTCCGGGTCAGACATCTTTTGATCCCGTTTGCTTAACGACATACAAACACACAAATCCCAGAGCTCTGCAGAAAGTCATTCCAGAAAATAACTCCTAAGCCAGCATTGCTTTTGATTCTGGGCAGAGCTTTTCACCCTGGTTCCCAGGGAATAATTAAAAATGGTAGGATTACCATTCCATAATTTTAGACAGCAGATTTAAGACTATTGGATAATAAAGCAACAGCCTGTCATGAAGTTACAAATAGAGGAATATCAAGATGGAGCTCCACCTTGCACAGACATCCAGCCAAAGCAAGGAATTAATTAGGGAAGGTCAACTCACAACTAAAGTAGTCCAAGCCAGGTGAAAGTCCTTTATCTGATAAAGGCTATTAGGTCAGATTTGCAGGCTAACCTGTGCTCCTAAGGCCTCTTCCTCAGTTCCACGTAACTGTAGCATAACAAGCTCCAGTAACCACTTGGGGGGGGCATATCTTCACGAGATTGCTTTTGTCTCATCTTCAGTTATTGATGGAAGCACCTTAGTCACTTTTAGCTGCTCCAGTTTTAAAGTAACATTTTCTCTCTTCTTCTAACACAATATTTTTGTTCACTGTTGATACGGTTATTGACATCAAGGCTAGGATATGCCCAGCTTCAACTCACCCGTTTAGGCTGCTGTAGGCCTCACCTTTCCCTTCTGATCATTAGATGTGACTTGGGCTGTAGGCAAAGTCTAATACCTGGCTTCTGCCTGGGTAATGCTTAACTGGCATTTTTTATAGCACTTGTCTTCTTAAAAGTACAGGGCTTAGATCTTTTCTGAGAACGCATTGGTCTTGTATTATTTTTTTTTTAAAAAAAAACCAACTATTGCTCTCCTGAGGCCTAGCCCTTTAATGTACAGTTCAATTTAAACCAGGAAACAGACTTGGTTTGCTGTGTGCTGTGTGTTCTATCAACATTGGGTGTATTACAGGTTTTCCACTACTTTTTGCCAAAAAGTAGGCTTTGAATGACCGTATTTTTGTTATTTGTGAGACTTTCATACAAGCACCAGAACGGTTGCATTTAAGTTGTCCTAAGTGGGTAGGGAAAAGGCACCATTTTGCCTATTCCATTCTGGCTCAGCAGCACTCAGTGCCATGGTGATAAATGCTATTTCATGGAGCCTTTCACAATTATATGTTCTACCAGTTCTTTCCAGTCACTGCCTGCTGTGAGGTCAGAACTGCCCTCTTTGGTCATTCACTGCCAGCCAGTACTACCATTCCTTGGCAGAACAAATCAAGGAGTCAGGTCACTTGTTTTTGTTTTGTTTTTTTAAACAAATTTTATTGGTTTTCCAGTTTTACATTAAATATTCGGAAAGCAGCGTGCTGATTGGGTAATCAGTGATTCAATAACACAGTCTTTGGTACATATCTCAGGTTATATCATCAGAAATTCCTTCTCTATTTCCCTTAACATTTGCTGTATCACATTTAGGCTAGTAGATTTCTAATTATAACAAACTTAGTTAAAGCATTTATCAATATATTTTTTGCTTATACATATCCATGTCCTGTTTTGAGTTTTACCTAATTTTTAATTTTTAATTACAATATTCCAATTTAACTTTTAATATCCATAGTGTTTGCGCTTCGAACTATTGCTTAGCCCAGATAATATAGATGATGGACTTGAGATAATAAAGGACACTCAATTAGTAAGTGATGATGTATTAGGATGAGAAATAGAAAATGTTTATGAAATAAGAAGATTATATTTAAGTAAGTAATATGTATATTCTAGATATGATAACTTTTATGTAGTGAAATAAAGGAAATTTGGATTACCCGGAGTCAGGTCACTTGTTGATTGCTCCCTCCTACTTCACCTCCAGCATGCCTGAGATCTATCAGCTGGACTATTTTTAAACAAGGATTTCGCTCTCTTTGAGGTGTGCAGGAGGTGAGGCACCAAGCAGAAGTCTCAGGAGAGCATCCACCTGCCTCAGTCTGCACCTGCCATCCAATTTTTGGGCAACATGACAGGTAGTTAAGCCTATTATTTCTAGCATCTGGCTAGGTTGTCCTACCTGCCTACTCAAAGGAGTGGTTAACAGCATGTTAAAGCAAGTCTTCTGAAAAGCCCTCAGTTTTCAATCTGGCTGAACAGGAACAGATCTAACCATTTCTCCATCCAGCCCAATATTGCGTGCTCTAGGCATTTCTTCAGGATATGAACCTGGTAAGATCTTCCATATTAATTGCAACATGATCTTCCCTAACTGGGGAGATATCAAGAAAACAAAACATATGCCCTTCCCACCTAGGTCTGGACCTACCCCACAGACAGCTCTCCCTTTTGCTTCTTGGACCCTCTCACCTCCACCCTTACATTATAATTTGTCATATTCTTTTGCTACCTCCAAATTTTTTTCACCCCCTATATAAATACTTTGTAAAATGGGCCACAGAGGTTTAGCAGAAGCCAATCTTCCCCTTACATCTGTGTCTAAACCTAACACATCCACAAGGAACCCACAGCAAAACTGGAAATGTACTTTCCAAGTGAATCTCTCTACACTGATCTTCCCACTGACAGAAGGAGTTTCAACCGCCTCCACGACCAATTCTATCCTGCAAAACCTCTGGCTTGAAAAACATGTGCCCCAAATAAACAGCCTTTCTTTTCCATTTTCACAGGCATAGTGGGGCTTAAAAGGGCTTCAGGGAATGCTGCCAACTTTAAAACCATTTTGGCCTTGTATCCAATGAGAACATGCTCAGAGGGCGGCTGTGAGTCATCAGGAGTCTTTCTGCTTTGGCTTCAAGCATACGTGAACTCCGCCTCCCTGGATTAGAAAGATGGTCCAACCATCTTCAAACGTACAACA